CCCGAGATATTATTATCAAAATGCCTACATCTCCTTAACTAATGTAAGATGATCGTGAATGATCGAATTTGTCTCAACATGATGGAATTTGTCAGCAACGAAACGTTTTCATTTACGAATGTAAATTAGTATTATTGCAAAAACAGAACGAAAATACTCACATTTCCGACGTCAGGCATAATGAGCTCTTCTACCGATGCAAAACAACTAACCAATTGTTTTGAGCACTTTGTAACCTCTGAAAAATCAAATTTAGCTATCTTCAAAAAATTGTTAAATCAGGATTTCCCAGTCAGGGGTCCTTGGACTCCGTGAGGATTAGAGAGAGAGTAGACTGAGAGTGGGTTGGAGAGTGGGTGCGATGAGAGAGTGGGTATGACGTTTCATTTTTTATCCATTAAAATAGGCGAGGCACCTCGGGTTGTAAACTCACCCTTCTACCGCCCACCTCCATTTTTTGAAATAACTTTACTTTGTTTTGTTTCAGGTTGTCACGAAATTATGTTGTACGGAGTCTGAGGGCATCTCAAAATTTTTTAGGTGGTCCACGGGCAAAAAAGGTTGCAAAGCATTGCTTCAACTAGTATGCAAATGTACGTAAATTTTCTATAAGCTTTTGCTCATAAAGCGTTTTAAAAATGAAACATCTATTGAATATCGGCAGCNCCACTATCAGCGCAGATTAGTGGTATTCTCACCGATTCAGACTCATCGATTCCTACTATCATGTAAGATTTAATTGCGTAAGAATATGGAGCATAACTGGGAAAGAAGTGATGTCGAGTGTTGTGACATTTGGCATGCAATCCGGGAATACATCAACGAACGACACATCGTTCGCATAAATCAACGATAGTTTTCGAATATGATTCCGAGTCTGCAATATAAACGCACGTATTACCACTATGTTGTCTCTCTTCAACTAGCACGTCAAATATTCGACGTTGATTTGAACATCGAACATAAATTCGCCGACCCGCTGCAAAAACTCCATCGCACTTCCGCTTTGTGCAGACTGCTGATTGACTAATACGCGAACATAGCGGTAGAGCGATGGTGATCTGCTGAGCTGATTCCACCGTCGTGAAACTCTTGAAGCACCATTTATGAGGTCCATTGGATGAAGGTATTTGAACACGTTCAGCAAAACGACATCAGGAACAACCTTCTGAAGTTAGAAGAAGCATATATGGACTGATTCTGAACAGTATACATTCTCTCCTGAGGGGATGAATATCGCAGGGGATTACTCGTTAGTGCCCATTAAAAAATTGTGATTGACGGAGTAGCTGCCAAGAGCTTCCTCCCGCGGTCAGTAGATGAACAACTTGACGATAATCGATATCCGTCATCGAGAAAAGGATTCATCGAAGCAGGTCATTCGTAACTTTATAAGTGTTGAATGAGAAATAAATCAAACCAAAGCCACAATAGTTTTATCCTATCAAACCTATCACTTTTCATTTGATATTTTCCGAAAGTGATAGCAAGTTAATGTTGGGGATTTATTGATTTGGGTGCTGGATATGCATGTGACCCATCAATAGTTACCTCGGTGATCTGCGCTACGTTTTGCTGCAAAATTGGAGCCGGTCTTGGATGTCGTCTCCCATAGTACCACCGCGTTTTCAGATATTTTCGTTCTCTCAGCGGATAATCATCTAATTGGTTAAAATGTCCAAACAGCCACTTAGCTCTGAATATTGTCATGCTCTTTTGTTGAAACTCGAAACTTACCAAGGATATTTCAGCAAGCTTTCGGATTTCCCTTGGGGATTTCGTGAACTTTTCCGTAATTTAATGGAGAAACTTCTGCTTCGGCAACAAATTCACATGCGCATTGAGCATTTGAATGTGCTGCTAAAGCAGCAAATAAATGCGTTCGGATGGTCGTGATGAATCGCTAGGATAAAAACGAGTAGTTTACCGTTTAGCGAATCGATAACGATTATCGATGTGTTGATATTTGGGTGGGAATGGTAAGAGCTTGGTCTGTTGGCTTGTTTCACTCATTGTCGCAAAACAATACTGCAAAGCGATTTCAACTTCAGTGAGCAGTCCATCGAAGCCGTTGAAAAGACAGGTATCGTCACAACAAACACAATTCCCATCGAACGGAAAACGTGAAAACACTCATTTGCAGCTGAATATTTTGATGGGAAAAAATCGTTTAGGCCTAAAACGGTGTAAGAGATAATGTAAAAATCGCCAAATTTACTAAAAGGTTCGAGAAATAATGCCATAAGAGTCATTTTTTCAGGTTTTTAATGTGTAACGGAATGTTTCTTTAGCTGTTCAAAAAATTCTGAATATATGAAACGATCCTCAACGAATTCTTATATTTTCGCCGCTTCAACATTGCTCAATTGTCCAAGAATGTTACAGAATAACGAATAATAACAAAAAAGTTTGTTAAAGTGAAGTGATTAAGAGATTGGTGTTCGTGTTACCAGGAAAAGTGCACCAAAACGATAACGAAGCTGTACGT